CTGCTTAAATATTCTGTAGGTTAACCAAAGTTAAATGTTTCACACCTTTGATCAAAATATAATTTTTTTAGGGGCCCACGTGCCCTAACCTAACCGGGTACTTCTAAATTGTTATTACTCCCATGGCGGGGCTTACCTCCGAACGTGTTGATCGTCGACGTGTGCTTCATTGGCGTCATGAACGGCTTGAAGTGGAAAAACGACGGAGACGCGGGCCTGCTGAGCGTGCTGAGTTTGTCCTCGTCGTACAGGCCGTCCCGGCCCATGGCGGCCAGCTGCCGGCCCTTGGGCATGAACATGACGAGTAGCACTAGCGCAGCCGTGGCGCCCAGGCCCAACGCCAGACATCCGTCCTGGTCGCCTGGCTGAGTGGCCCACAGCCCAGCTACGGCCCAGCCAACGCACAGCGGCGCGGTGCAGCCGACGGCCAGCCCGATGTACATCGCTTCGCGGTAGTTGTCCCGTATATGTCGCGACTTGATGGCCAACACGGTGACGGCCAACAGCAGGCCTGCCGCGTACACCAGCGAGCCCAGCATATGCTGGTACTTGGTGTCACAACTGTTGTCCAGGCTGCTCGTCCACTGCAACAAGCACGGTATGATTGCAARTTGTTATAGCACACAATTACAATTTTTATATTCACCAATACATATTTCATTTTCATTATGATTTTATCCTTCGATATTTTTACAATAGCAAGTTTTTTTTTAAAACATTGAACACATTTTTTAGATGGTATGATTTTTACATTTAGGAATTTCCACTTTTTAGGCGTTTTTATACATAATATATATATATTAAAATTTCTTTGTTAATTCATTTGAATATTGAATATACTGCCAATCATACTCAATTAAAGATATAATATTCACACTTTTCCGCAAGTTCTAAATGATTGTTGCGATGATTAAGAACGTTATTAGAAATAATTTATAATAAATTAAGGTTGGTGACTTTTGCATTTTTTTCTTCAACCCTATAAAATGATAAAAATTTGTTTCATGCACCTTTGATATTGACTACCTATACAATCTTATATTGTAATTACGGTTTTGCATTTATAGCTATGAATGTATTTTTATTTTTACATAATTGTTTTATGAATGGAATATTTTTTTGTAGTTTGTATACAATGCGAAGCATTTTTCTTAAAATTTAGATTTATGGGTTTTTGTTGTATTAAACTTAAAATTTAAATGTTTAATAGTGTTTATTAATTTTACAACACGTTATAATCATTATTTTTAAATTAAATTAAATTTTCACTTATTTGAGTAGATTTTCTTCGGTCATATTTTAAGTTGTTTTTTTTARCATCATCCATCCCATATTAAATGATAAACATATAAGTAAGCAATTACAATTAACAATATATTGACTTACCTGGGACGATAGAAGCTGCGGGGGTGTGTAGATGAGCCATTGGACGCCGATGGCCAGCTGTATGGCCACCGCGAAGAACAGCAATAGCGCCTGGTACGGTGCAGGCAAGTAGACGCCGCCGTTGAGAMTGATGAGGAACACGCACTTGACTAGCAACGTGCCAAACACCATCGAGTACCCGAGCCCAGTGCACAGCCTGACGGTGGCGCACGTCAGCACGGTCGGCTGTGTGCACATGAGCCCGCTGACAGCCGCGCACACGAACAGCCCGCCCAGCAGAGCCTGTCCTAGGAACAGGTGTCTCCTGCTGGGCTCCGTTTTTCTCGTTTTGCACAGCACGAACACCTGCAGATATACAACGACAGTCATGTCAGTTTGGTGCATTTTCGTCACTTTATTTATTATATAATATATATATTATGTTGTATACCGATTACCGTACTAAGATATTCGGTCAAAGTCATAAACATCGTRACTCCATTACTTTTTTCGATTTTGGGGTTGTGGAGAGGAAAAAACGYATCGAGTGATWAAGTCATAACTCTGATTTTATAATTATTTATCCTACATGAAATCGATGAGTAATGATAAATCGTCGTAATTCCGATGTAATAATTTTAAGACTTAGAAAAAGTCGCATATCCATATAATCTCATAGTAATAATTAATGGAGATGCAACTTTTGTGAGTTAGAGAACTAAACTGATGAGATGTTTGAAACGTTTTTATCCTCTCCTGTAATATTTACTATTTTGTACTWACGGCTTTTATGACTTAGACCGTCATTATTGTACATTATTGTCATTATCGTTATTATTGTACCSACATTGCATAACAATAACAACAATATTATTGAAATAAAATTATAAATATTAAACTTAAGACGTAACATATATCTTCTTTTTTTAAAAATTTTTACCCAACCACATAACTTTGCGATTTCAAGTTCAAGCACTGTGTTCGATTTCATGTATATATATATATATACGTATTGACAGGTATTAAAAATGACTTGATGGAGATTTAAAATGTTTCGAAAGTATTGATTTAATTAACAATATAATATTTTAATATTATGTGTTGATATAAATATACGAGTGTAATAAGTAATAACGAAGTATCGCGAGAGACCAGAGACCTGATGACAATAGTATTTGATTTGTTTACATAGTATTTTCTCATGACATTTCTTCKCATTCAAATAATTTATTACAATGCTGAAGGTTTAAACAAAATCTTATATAGAAGCATAGCATCCCAATATATCCTAATAAATCGAAAACTGGTGCTTTGTCGATCTGGATCTTATTGTAGGTATTATATGGTCGAACAATTTTATTATAAATTATAAGTGGAATTCAATAATCTTGTCATTTCTCTAGATTTGTATTATTTAAGATCATCATGTTTATTATTTGTATTTTAAGGCATTACAATTAAATTATATTTCAGGATGGTATATTTTATAGCGTCGAACGCTCACTTTCGCAGAGCCATCGACTTGGAGATGACAGCCAGGTTATATACTATAGCTTCCAACTGACCTATGACATAGTATTTAATATTATGTTTTTTGTCCAAAAATCCAATAAATCCGAACTGGCAATAATCGAGAAACATTTTTCACTAGAGATTTTACAGCCACGACATTCTCTGACCACGACCAGGTTAGGTATATACCTAAATAACCTAACTGCAGACCTGCACCGCGGTATCGTGCGATAATGTTCAATGATAATTATTATACCTATAGGTATAAGCACAGGAATAATAATGAATGTATACCTCGAAAGTCATTATCAGCGTCATGGTGAGCACCGAAAGTATGAGCACCGGAAGCACCCAGGCGTCGCGCCGCAACAAGGTGAGCGTGGCCGCGGCGTACTGGTGGACACCGGTGTTCGGTGGACCAGTCGTGACGATCACACCCGGCGGCGACGTGAACGGCCCGTAGGACGGCAACAGGAACATGTCCGTGTTCATCCCCACCCGTCCGCCGCCTCCAGTCATCTGTACCACGCTGGCTGCCGCCTCCATGTCATCGCTGCCTGGTCATCATCGCACCTGTTGACAATACTCGAATTTAATATTTAGGAATTATTTTCTCGACAACGGTT